CAATATAACAACACCATTTTTTCAATATTTACTTAAACAATGTGCTAATTAACTTATGTTTTATCACACTTAATCCTTAAAACGAATCTGTGATGTTAGCACTATTATTTTTACAGATGGGGAAGCTGAGGCTTAGAGAGATTACACGTTTGCCTAATACCACACATATACGAAGTCAAGGAATCAAGCTGGTCTAACTTCCGACTACTTTGATAATTCAGCCCTGCACTGTGCCTGGCAGGCCACAATCATTTAGACTGTAAGAGAAAAATAAAATGACTGCTAGGGAAGATTCGTGAAGCTGATGGGACTTGAGTTAGTGAAGGATGTATGGAAGAAGTGGGCAAGTGAGTGTCATTTATGGGCTTATTATGCCCTCAACTCTGGTCAGCTTTTTGCTTTCAGAAGCAGTTGTCATTCTCATCGCCATACATGAGTGTTTCAAATGCAGTAGTTTTCCACTCTAAGTAGAGACTGGTTATCGTTAATCTCTGCCTGCAGCCCCATTTCCTCAGGGGGGCTCCTTTTAGATGCAGATAAATCTAACTAGCTGTAAAAATCAGGAAGAGTAGATGTCATGTTTTAATCATAAGCCATTCGTGTGATAGCTTGAATTTCTATTTTCCTTTACCAAATTACTTTAAATTTATGACATTTTTAGTATATCTCCTATAAATCCACAGAGCTCAGTATTGCAAAAGCCATGAATTGTTGTCAGTAACTAAATCATAGGAAAGCAAAGAGAAGCAAAAAAAAAAAAAAAAAGCATTGACACATTGTTAGTAGTTTATTTTCGCATGTGTTGGTGGGATATTAATGATCTTTGAGATCTTTGCAGATAATTCAGTGCAGGCCTGGCTCTAAGAATAAAAGCTGGCATCCTGGTCAGTGAGGGAGAATTTTATTTTTCTCAGAAGCTAAAGTGAACTCTTCTAAAAGTTGGGGAGAAGAATATGGGATTAGAAGTCACAGTATCATTGGCCTTTAGTATTAAGTTGTAGCATCAGAAAATAATGGTTGTAGCTGGGAAAATCAAGTCTCAGTTTGTTTTCTCCATGTCATGGCATATCCATCATTCTTGAACTTCAGCATGTGTCAGAATCATCTGGAGGGTTTGTCACAACATGGACTGCTGGGCCCCAGGTCGGAGTTTCTGACTCAGTAGGTCTTTGATGGGACCTGAGATTTGCACTGCTGACAAGTTCTAAGGAGATGCTGATACTGCTGGGGTAGGTACCAAATTTTGGGAGTCTGACTTACAGTCCCAGCTCAGTGCTAACCATCTGTATCACCTAAACAATTCTTAGTGTCTTTTTCCTTGAATCGCCTGCACCTTGTCTAGTATAGGTGTAGGGACCACTTTAAGAACCACTGTGATATGTCTAATAGCATCTGCTGAGATCCCAGCTGATAAAAATATTTATTTCATTGTTCCTTCCAATTCGAGTGAGATCTACTTTACTTAAAACATTGGTGGAGATATTCTATTTCTAGGGACCTCTGATGATGAATTAATGCCACCCTTCACATCAAAATATATTACTGACCTATCCTCAAGAAAATTTGGTCTCTAAGTGGTGTGTTTTCATGAAGGTGACAGATCTGTACCTCACTTAGGTCTGGACACAGCTGGGCTCAGTGTCCATTCCATAGTCAAAGATCAG